GTTCTGGCAAGACATGCCAATGGGTGTAATAATGATGTGGTCTTGGAAGTGTTTGAGGGGGAAGGGTTATAATGATAATGCATTGTATACACATGTGGAATTCTCGAAGAATGAATTAAAGGATACAAAATATGACACACATACACAGTATACTACTCAGCCATAAAAACAAGATATCATTATTTACCAATTAACCCCAAATTCATTACATTAACTGAAATAATTCAGACATAGAAATACTGTATGATATCATGCACATGTTGAACTGACACACACAAAAGTTCTTTTCATGCAAGCTGAGGATAGAATAGTGGTTAGCAGAGCGTGGAAAGGCTGCCTAAGAGATCCAGTGCTAGATGGGAGGAAAATATTCTCCTGCCTTATATAAAAATAGATTAAAGTGTAACCTATGAGATCTGAAATCTAGAATAGTCACAGGGAAAAGCTCCATGCTGTTGGCCTGGGCCATGATATTTTTGAATGGGAGCCCAAAACACAGGTGACAAAGTCAAACTGGAAGAGAAGCCCTTGAGGTCTCCAGATATAATACAGTAGTAGATATAAAACAAGTAGTGTTTACTCTGAATGGATTAATACAGATCCATGCCTACACTGAGTATGTAGTTTCTATGCATTGATAAAAATGCTGAGTGTTTAAGGAGATAGAAACAGTACCATTTCTGTAATGTTAGTCCCAAGGGACAAATAGGAAATTGACCTCAGAGCTTGTTCACCAATGGATAGGTAAGAAAATTCTGTCATTGGCAACATCATGAAAAAAGCTAGAAAAACGAGTGAGATTAGCTAGGTAAAGACAAACAAAAGCTGCCAGATCTCACTTACATGTGGAGTCCAAGCAGATCAAACTCACAGAAGGAGACAGGAATACGCATAGTGGAGTTTGGAGGGAACATATATTAGTCAGGAGATACTAATTTTAGTGTCAATGGAGAATAATGTTTCTGAGATCAGTTTCACAGCAGCCTAATTTAGTTACCTTCCTTTGAAACATATGAGAAGAAATTCCAACTATCTCACCACAAAATACAGTGCTCAGAACATCATATTGTGCCTTATAAATGTATACAATTATGAGCTATCAAAATATCATATAAACCAATTTTAAGTTAAAGGAAATTAACCACTGTGTGAGTTTTTTGGTTGTCATCTGTATGTTATTTTACTAACAATGGATGTTCTTGTTTGTTTAAATAAGCCCAGGCCCCCGTCATTCCTAAATCATGTTTGGAAAACGTATGAGAAACAGTTTATTCAGGTCTGTGCCTTGGAGTTAACTTACTGAACTTGTTACTAACGAGAACCTAAAACTAAAAGGAACTTCACAGAATTAGAGGAGAGATTTAAAAATTACTTATAAACATGCCATTTGCTAGAACATCCATTGGTTAGAATATCCTGCTACAAACTTTCCCTAAGTGTGTTGGTCCCCATTGTGAGACCTTAGTAAAAGGTAAACATGATGTATATCAGCCACTGTCACCTTTCTGGGGACAAGAGCATTGTCCTGTGAACTTAGGAGATGTCTGTAGCTTACAGAGTGTGCACAACTCGATCTGCTCCAAGACACCTTTACTGCACAGGATCAAGCAAATGTCCTCCAAGGTGTTGGTCTTAGTTGCAGTACTTTACTGCCACCTGATGGCCAGATAGAAGTTGGTCCCAGTCCTTCAAGGCTTCTTCACAGTTGACGTTCTTGATAGTTACTGTAGCAGAGCAAGCAATTTGCCTTCCATGTTAGACTGAGATGCTAACATGTGTTGCTATTCACAATGGGTAGTGATTTTAACAGATTGTGTTTGACTGCTCATGCAATGTTAAAGAATGATGGTTTGATGAATAAGATGGAGGCTGAGATAAATAAGAAGAATGTCAAAACCTACTAAAACACAATAGTTCGAATAAAATAAATACTTGAAGGTATAATATAAATAAATACTTGAAGGTATAATATTATCCATGCCTATGATGAAATAATGTATGTAGACATTATGGATAGAAGTCCAGCTTTAGTATTAAGGACTTCAGAGAGAACATTTAATTTACCTTCTATTGTATGAAAACATGAAGGATCAAATTTAAAAGAAGAAAAAAAAGGACTTAAATTTGTATGAAATGATTAAAGATTCCATATGTCAAAGAAATGAAGACATCTAGTATCTGGTGCTAGGATGATGGTGTGGTCTCATGATGTAGATATTTTTTTTTTGGTTTTTTCGAGACAGGGTTTCTCTGTGTAGCTTTGCGCCTTTCCTGGGACTCGCTTGGTAGCCCAGGCTGGCCTCGAACTCACAGAGATCCACCTGGCTCTGCCTCCCAAGTGCTGGGATTAAAGGCGTGCGCCACCACCGCCCGGCCCTTATGATGTAGATATTTAAGGTACATAGACGGTAGGATGACTATGAGTCTGAGGTTGTGGGATGGGTAAGATGAGAACAGGAGAAGCCTAGAAGTGGTTAGGAACTACAGGATTAAAAGTTATATGTCGCAATGAAAACACTTGGTCTTGGCCATAAGGCTGAGAAGTGATATATTTAAGTAGCATATTTAAAAATTTCAAACAAGGCCCCAAAGAGGAAAGTAATCATCTAGTAGCAGATGAGAGACAAGAGAGAACGTGAGAGGAAGGAAAAGGAGGAGGAGGAGGAGGAGGAGGAGGAGGAGGAGGAGGAGGAGGAGGGGAGGAGGGGGAAGAAGAGGACAAGGAGCAAAAGAGAAGGAAAGAGTGAGTGTAGGAGGGAAGAAAAGGCAGAGGGCAGTGACTAGTGACTACTAGAGCTAGGATTCTGAAGGCAGAGATCGCTTTCTGTGTTGCAGCCTTGAGGGATGTAGAGAGATTATCCCTGAGTCACACCAGAAGACAATCTCACATTTAGACACATGTTGATCTTTTTTTCTCTCTTTAGAAACGTCTACAGAAAAAAAAATAGCATCAAAGCCTTTTACCAGTTATGTGTAGCATATTTTTACATACACAAGTTTCTGTTTGCTAAAATCACCTGTATTCTTACAGAATAGTCTTGTCCTTTGGAATTCTTACGGAAAGGAATGGCATTATATTCTAGTGCAAACTTTAGAAAATTCTGGAGGAAAAATAAGTAAAGTGGCATAATAAAGACATTTTATTTTCCTTTCTGACAATATGTTCTCAGAGAAACTATCTGTGATGTAGTAGGTAAAAACTTAAGACAACATTAGACTGAATAGCACAAGACATTGAAGGATATTGTTTTTGAGCGCCAAGTTATCTGCATGGTTGGCGTAGGCATTCACATCATGGGTGATTTTAGGAATAAGAAGGAGTAACCCATTTGGTATTACCATGAACTGAGGACACAGAGCTGAGAGGAAGGAGAGCCTAGCTCTCAGAGCCATGCTATGGAAAGGGTTCAACAGATTGCCGATTGCTGCCTGTTTTGGAGAGAAATACGCAAATCAAAAGATTACAGAACCCAGATCTTTCACAGGATGCCAACAGCGCCTACTTAAAAAATTCACTGTGTGACCTTAATGTGGGATTTGGACTTTTAAAGAAGAGATTCATGAAGCTGATATAAAATCAGTAGCATTTGGAAACAACCATCCCTAGAGCTCTTGATGTTCCTGTCCCAGGGACTTGAAGTAATGGGAGTTGGCATGCTATGAAGGCAGAATACCTCCTTTCCCCGCAAGGCTCTTTGCTTTCAAATTCTAACGATTAAATATCTGAGGTGATTTCGTTTTCACTGTACCCCTTCATGCACCACAGAGCCATCAAAGAGATGCAAGCTTCCAGAACACGGACAAGTAAAAAAGTCATTTTTCTCCCAGACCAGATGTGGTCAAGCTACTGAAAGAAGATAGCACTTGAGTGCATACCAGTCTGATGACCGTATTAGGAAATACGTGTACATGCACACAAATGAGGTATTATGACCGGGAGAGACATATATTCTTACATACTCCGGAGGATAAAATGTGTCAGCAGAATTTAAGAAAAATGACCAATGAGACATTTATAGGTATGAATGATGTATGCTTCTGCTATGGAGAAAAGTAGGGCCATCAAAGAAACAGGGCCATGTTAGACATGTAAAGATGTTTATGTATCAAGACTCAGACCTTGTTCCAGCTGGGTACAAATGCTTGAGAGGCTAAGGCAGGAAAATTTCAAATTTGAGATCAACTTGGACATAAGGCTGACTGGGACAACACAGCAAGACTACATATCAAAAAGATATAAATAATTACTGTACAGATATGAAAGAGCAATAAATAGCAAAATGAAGAAGGAATTATGTCTTAATAAACAGATTTTTTTTCCAAAAAAAGGATGCTCTTGCATCTGTACTGCAACACACCTGCCCATACATTGCCAATGTAATACCAAATGCAGTGATGCATAATAAAATCTTCAGTCTACTTTTCAACAAAAAGATATAAATAATGAAAATTTTAAATATTTAATGAGAGATTTAAAAGCTGGACAACAGGAATTGATTAGGAGAACCACCATGTACTATAATTTGATTAATTTTTAAAATGACAGTGAAATCTAAAAGAATTTGATCTGGAGAAGCCATAGAGGTTTTACATAAATAAGGCCATTGTTGAAAATGTTATGAGAGCTGATAAAATGTACTATTTGTCTTTGACCGAAGGTTCAAATGTTCAATCAGCTCTACTATGAAGATATGAGACACAGACACACAACACGAGTCAAGATGTTAAGGCAAGTTTGCTTGTTTATTTGTAGTGGTCAGATTGATCCCAGAGTCCTCCGACCTGTGAGATGGTGATTTACAGTGAGCTAGATTTCCAGGCCAGAATAGTTTATATATCAAGGAAAACATAGAAGGACCCTGGAGTCATCAGCTTCCAGCAGGACTTTGTCACCAAGAATCTATGCAAGGGAAGGCAGAAGGACGGATAACACATAAGAAGGAAGTGGTTGTGCTGGACAGGAGTGGAAGATATCTTCTTGCACATCCAAGTTCACTCACCTAGCACCTTCCATCATGATAAAATCTAATTCTCCCATGAGATTTCCTAAGTGGAGGCATAAGAAGCATTTCATTAAGACATTTTACTTTGGGAAATTAAGATACCGACTATAAAGGGAATTGCTTAGAGCAAAGGCCAGGGCATTTGTCACTGAAAATACTTAGAAGCTCTTTGGAAATAATCTGTCCGGTTGGGACTGAGTCTGTGATGTATAAGATATAAGTGCTATCAGCTATCATCCAAGACCCTCACCCTGTGGCTAAATTAGTAATTAGTGGGATGAACCAGAACTTGTGTGGCCTCTGCTTTGCTCCTTGCACAAAATTCCTGAAGGGTTGCTGGAGTAAGGGCTCCAATCTGACACCGCAAGAAATGGTTTTCTTCTTATAGAATATACTGCTTCACATAGATCACAGCTAAAATCACCGTGGCATTGCAATCTGGGTGTCTAATGACTGATTGCTGCTCGTGTAAATCCAAATATCTGAGTAATCGATCCCAGGCAATGGACCAAAGTCTGCTGTTATTCTAGTATAGTTGAAAGTTTTAGACATAGAAGCAGCAGAAAATATCTAACAGAAGAAAAAAGTAAAATTTGTTTTTAAAAATCCAAGTGGTGAGGGTTGAAGGTGTTTTAGAATTTCTGTAGGGAATCCATCAATTACAGGGATATTAGGACTCAGAAAAAGCACCTAAGGAGCACTGTTCAGTCTAATGAGTCTACCCTATATGCCAATAAACCTTCTGTTACTATGACTCTTCTCAGGAGGGACCAATTGCTGTCTCCGCAAATGGAAAAGACAGGCTTCATGGCGGCTGGCCTTGGTGGTGGGCAGGGTGGACAGAAATCCCAAACAACAAGCATAGTCTCAGTTCTCCCCCCACCCCCAGCCCCAAATACTCACAAGCTCTCAAAACATAAGATGCAGGGATTATCATATGTTACGAAATTGGTGCCACAGATGGGCTGCTTTAAGTTGGGGCAAGGGTCCACTGTTTTATTAAACCAGCTCAAGTTTACTTTCTTGTAAGGACACTTGATCTGAAATTGAGCAGAAAAAAACTGTAATTAGAACCATGCTGAAACAATAGGTCACTTGTGGACTGTACTAGGGTCATCTGAGCGAGTCCGAATCCTGTTCCAATGTCACGAGGCTCTCCTACTCTGTCCGCACAGGGCAACGGCGCTGGAGTCTATCTCTACTCTGCAGGTAGGTACGTATCTTGTTCTGTGGTCTGATAAGTATCATGGCTTGTGGTCAGGAACTCCTACCGGCCTGGTAAACTATAGTGAGGGGAAAGAAAACATCTAAATTCACAAAGGAAAACAAGTGCAAGCACAAGTACTTTTTTGTTTGTTTTTGTTTTTTTGAGACAGGGTTTCTCTGTGTAGCTTTGGAGCCCGTCCTGGAACTCACTTGGTAGTCCAGGCTAGCCTCGAACTCACAGAGATCCTCTTGCCTCTGCCTCCCCAGAGCTGGGAGTAAAGGCGTGCGCCACCACCGCCCAGTTCACAAGGACTTCTAAAGTGCATGAATACTATAAAGCAAATCTATAAAAGCACAAAAGAAATGACCTTCAATTTATCTTTTATGTCATTAATCAAACATATGTTGGCCCCACAGTGAACACAAAGCTGAGCAGGATAGACAAAAAGAAAAAGAAAAAAAAAAACACCATTCTGTTTCACTTATACACAAGCTCCAAACACAATTCGAGCCTATGCCCAGAGATTCTTTTACATTTTCTTGCTTCTAGAATCCAAGAGATTGCTGCTTTCCATATTTTCAACCTAGAAGAATATGCTTTGTTCACTCTCTCTACAAAAGCACAACTCCTCCAGAGCTTCGTGAATGTTCAAGTCTGTGGGTTCCTCACAGCTGGCAACTGGAAGCTGTCACCATTCAGAAATAGTTAAATACCTTGGGATGTTCTCTCGTGTGTGTGTGTGTGTGTGTGTGTGTGTGTGTGTGTGTGTGTGTGTGTACATTTGACTTGGTTCCCAGTTTAGATCACTCTATTGTAGACTCTAACCAACTGAGGGCCGGTAACCCTCATGTGAATAGACCTTGAAGAATTTCATAAATTTCATTGTTGTGCTAAACTTGTAAAACAACAGATTCTTTTTTTAAAAAACAAGATTCGCTGGGGCAGGAGCAGTCTATGAGTCATATATCTATGTACTCATGAGCAGCAGTAGTTTGAGTTAGTGGGTTTTGAAGAGAAAAATGAAAAGGTAGGAAGTTAGTAGGGGAAGGTAGGGATCTAAGAGAAGTAAGAGAGGGCACAGGAGTAGAAAAATGAACACTCATAGTATACGTGTATAAAATTCTCAAAGAACAGATATATAAAATAAAATAAACTATTTGATTCAGAGCCTGGAGAGATGGCTCAGTGTTTAAAAGCACTGGCTCACTTGTGGCTCTTGCAGAAGACCAGGGTTCAGTTCCCAGTACCCTCACAAAAGCTTATAACAATTGGTAACTCCAGTTGCAGAAGGTTTAGTGTCCTTTTCAGGCCGCCATGGGCACCTGGCACATATGCAGCACACTTATATAGAAACAGGTAAAACACTAAACACAACTTCTTTAAAAAAATATTTTAAAGATTAGATTCGAATCTGAGTCCTGGAAAACCTATTAGCCAATTACCTTAATAACTCCATGTGGTGGCCACCAAACACGAGCACCTGGAACTGGAGAATACATTAATATGTTACAGAATTTAATTCCTGATAAATCATAGCCTAATCTACTGACTGAAGAAAAAAAACTGTACTTTCTTACTAGGTAACCTTGAAATAATTGAAAACACTGTATTATTTATATGTTTGTTCATCTTTTTCAAATTATGGACCGACACTCCTGCTTCTATAGACAGCCAGCAGAGGGGATCAGGCTGTCACCACTTCAGGAGGGTGCCTTGCCAGACAAATGCTTTTGTTGGTTAATACTAGCCAAGCTGGAGAGGATTTAGAGCTGGTGTAGCAGGTAGTTGGGAAAGATAAGAGAAACATTAGAACTTGATAGTTTTTTGGTTTGGACCCTGTATTTTGCAGGGAAGGAAATGACACCTCATTAATACTCAGTAGTTCATGGTAGATGTGTGAAAAACTGAGAACTCTGTTCTTGTGCTTTTCAGCGTGATCTCTTCTCTAGAAAGACCACAGAGGTCCTGAGCCACTGGAGATCACTGTGGGGCATTTTCAAATGTTTTCGAGCTGTGTGCTGGATGAAGACATACTGCTGGCCACTTCCCACTAACTATCTCCCTGAATATCAAAGCCTCCTTTTCCCCATGCGACAGGTCCCACAAACTGCACATCACAGCCAGGAAAACCAAAACTTTACCTCTCTGACTCAGATCTCACTGTCTCTCTAAGCATATATATGTGGATAAGCTTGTATGTAGGTGTTTGTACCTATATTCACATATATTTTTCATTAAAAACATTTTTAATTCAAAGCATTTTCTTTCAGATTACAATGTTAACACCCACAAAAATTTATATTCCTAGTGGAAAAGCTAAATTACTCACCAGACAGGAGCGCCAAATGTAGCATGATGAAGAACAAAAGTGACCATAGCACCTGGGAATATTTGACCATTTTTCCTTCTGGTATATCCTTGGAATGCTGTTCTGAGAAGCTGGTTCAGGATACCACCTTTTGATAAAATTACCACAGGAGACATCATCACAATGCTAAAACAACTCTTGAAAGACCAATCCACTGTGCACTCCAATTTAAAAGCCTGTTCTTTACCACTTCAAGAATAAATGTATAGGGAAAGTCAAACCTTGACTAATCATCTAAAAGGTCAAAAGATTAAAATTATTGAGTTCAGTGGCAGACCTGTGAATACTCCAGAAACAGGGAAGCAGGGAGCAGATGCTTCTCTTCTGTGCGAACAACTATACTATTCTAGTGTGGAGGCATTTTATATCTCTTGAAAAAGAAACTCCTTACCCCAAATTCCTTCCACATTTATTTTTTTGAAATGTTAAAAAACCAAAACGGGGCTTACTGGAGAAATAGGGGGTGAGAGTCTATATTTTCTCATAAAGTAGAGATGGAGTCTTTGAATCAAGATAAAGATTAGTGACATTACAGGCAAACTTGGCTATGTTGAGAATCTTCTGACTGAATATTAAACTCTTTGGAGGGTATTCTGGGATATTGAAAAACAAGAAAACCAAACCAAACAAAACAAAAAACAAAAACCTTCATCATGTCCCCATATCAGGGCAACCGAAGCTCTATTATCCAAGACATAATACTGTCTCTAGAGAATAGCACTCTCCACGATAATTGGACATTTTTGGCAGAATATCCAGGACTCCTGCCTTGCCTGATGTTGAGACAACCTTGGGCACCATGGTTTTGCTAAGCACATCACTATCTTATCCTACTATCTTTTCTAATTCTTCAGGAATGGGGGGCAGCAACAGTCCAAATCACACCAACTTCACTCCGATCCTTCCATGCCCTATGGTGACCCACCGTAGAAGGAGGAGACTAAGTTAATGAGCTCCCTTTCGCTGTTACCTCTTCTTTAAAGCTTAAGTTTTGGGACCTCCTGAGAGGACATTAGCTGCGTAGGAAAAAGCACTGAGGCATTGTGTGCTGGGCTGAGCAGGCTCTGGTAGGTCCATCATGATTCCACTTAGGTTAAGGTCAGATCTCAGCAGGGGATGTTGAAAAGGACTTGAGGCGGGTGAGAAGTGATTCCTGGATAGCTAGGGTGGCGTGTGAGCATGCGTGCTACAGTTGGAAAGAGCATAGCCAAACACAGTACACATCCTCCAACAGTTAAGACTTCTCAGGCAGAATGAAAAAAACACAAACATCTGAGATAGAGAAGGCTGGAGCGGTGATTTGCAGTGGTGCATGAGATCCACTGATGCCATCTGCAGTGGGTACAGCCTTGTCCCTTAGGCAACCTGAGCCTTTGCACTGTTAATGGGGATGGTGTTAGCATGATTGGGCTCCTTTGGTGGCCCGATTTTTCTGCTTCTTGCTGGTTTTCTATAAAGAATATTTTGTTTCCTTCTATGAAGGCAATACATATTCACTTAGAGAATTTGGAAGATAAACTTAAAAAAAAAAAACCAAAACGACATGGAGTCTCACAACTTCAAAAGAAGTGTTAAAAATGTTGACTTAACTATTCCACTTTAAAACTAAACAGATATCCAGATAATGACACACAATACACTGTTTATCCCAATAGTCAATCATGTTTTTCAGTATACATTGTTTTTTGCTTTTTTTCCAATGAAAACTAAACTGCCACATTTTCTTAGTTTCAAATAGTCATTTAAAGCTTGCCTTTATATGCTTTAGCCCATAGTCCATTACATATGTGAATGATAATTGTATTAATATTTTTCAATTGTTGATAATTATGGTGATTCTGAATTTTAACTGTTATTAAAATTCTTTAATAACAGATTTGCATTTGCCTTGGTTCATGTATCTTACTCTGTTTTAATATTTTGATATGCTTGTCTATAAATATATTGGAGATTCTGTAAAGAATATGGGTCACCTAAAATATGAAAGCTTTCCATATGCACAAAGCTAGATTAAAGAAATAAAGACAGGAAAGTAGAGAGTGGACTATTGGAGGTGAGAAAGGGCATTAGAAGGTGGGTGACAAGAGAGGGCAATGGAGGGAATGAATATGAACTAAACACATTATACACATGAGTGAAACTGTTGTAATGAAACACATGGTTCTGTAAAACCAGTATTTGCCAATGATGTTTTTATCTACTTTGCATGCCATATTTATAATGCAGGCCACTATGACAATAATGTAATAATCTTAGGTGAATGACTTACTCCCCAGGTCAGAAAGAAGAGGCATTTCACTATTTATGAAGGCTTACAGATGTAGAAACACATCTGGCAACAGTATTTTGCCCACATGGAAAGGGATTTCCCTCTGCATTGTAGACATTTCCCTGTGCTTTTATTTTGATGGCTTTTTAGTCATGGCTATTGGTGTAGGTGTCATAGGGTCAGAGCCACAGACTCATTCCTTGTTTAATATACTCGTGAGGGAAGATGGAGAGAGGGCACCCCAAATGAACATCTTGCATCACCAAATGAAGCCTCCAGTTCCAGGAATGGGTCACACCTAATTGAATTTTTGGTTGATGCGGCCCCATGGGAACTCCCAAACAACTAATGTGGTGATATTTTATTTGTATGTTAATAAATAAAGTTTGCCTGGAGATCAGAGGACATAGATAGCCATCCATAAACAAAAGTCAGGCGGTGGTAGCACATGCCCTTAATCTGATCACATGACAGGCAGAGTCTCTCTGTGTTCAAGGACACAGCCAAGTGTGGTGACACACGCCTTTAATCCCAGTACTAACCATAGAGACCTGGAGGCTGTTGCCAAGAAAACAAGGCTATTGCCAAGGCTATTGGTTGCTCCTCATAAACTGATGGCTAGGACTATTTCTGAAGACAACACTTACATAAATCATTAGACATGGAGAAGCTGAGCTGATGCCTACATAGGGCCTTCATCCCCACTGGTCAGTGCTCATGGTACTTTCTCCCAAAGGAGAAAGGAAAACTCTAATCCAGCTACAAACCCTTAGATCTACCATTGTGACCTCACTGCAAGATGTGTTATGGCAATCATGGCTCAAAGCCTCTGGGACTAACCAACCAATATCTGATTGGACTTAAGGCCCACTTCATGAGATGTAACTCCTACCTGATACTGTTTGTGTGGCCCAAAACCTAAGACTAGATAGGCCAGGGGGCTTAGGGGAAAACAAAATACAACTGTTCTGCCGAAGGAACACAGCAATAAAATGACTCTTAACAACATTCTGTGATTCTCAGATCAGTGTCATTCTGAGCCATCACCAGAGACGCTTACTCCTATAGTAGGTACAAATAAATTCAGAGAGCCGGTGCTGGACAAGGTGTAGAGAGTGAGAGACCATCCTAAATGGGATGTCTCCATCAATCCCCTACTTTCAGGGCTTAGGGAAACCTGTGGAAGAGGCAGAAAAACTTTAGGAGTCAGAAGGGGTAGAGGACACCAAGGGAATAGTGACTCCTAAATGACAGCAGGATGGTGCAAATACGAACCCACAGAGATTATGGCAGCAAGCACAGGGCCTGCACAGTCCTTGGCCAGATGGGGTCCCAGTGCTGAGAGGGGAAGTGGACCTAAGCCCACGTCCCTAACCCAGAAGCTATCTCCAACTGATAACCGCTTACAAGTGAGAAATTGGTTTCCTCCAATAGAGTCTAACTACACGTACATACCACTAAGGCAAGGCCCCGTGCTCACCGGTAGTTGGCCAAAATGAACTCAATGGCACTTTTGGACGTTCCCTGTCTCATAATGCTTTGTCAGGGCTTTCTGTTGCTTCGTTGTTTTCAACCTTGCAGGTTCTTTTTATGGTTTCTGGTTTTGTGTTTTTATGGGAGTTCTGCATGTGCAAACAAATGTGTTTAACTCTGTGTCTAAAAATTAATAATAATACTGAATGTGAAATTACTTTCCACTTGAGAATAAATAAGCGTTTCTATTTTGATTTATTGCAATTATTTTATTTTATTTAAAAGACTTTTTTCCATGTTACATATGAACCACAGTTCCCCCTCCCTTCTCCCACTCACCCCCACCTCCCCTCCTCCCAACCTCCTATCCACTCCTCAGAGAGGGTAAAGTCTCCTATGGGGAGTCAACAAAATCTGGTATATCAAGTTGAGGCAGGATCAAGCCCCTTCCCCCTGTATCGAGGCTGAGCATGATATCCCTCTATAGGAAATGGGCTCCAAAAACCCAGTTCATGCACTAGGGACTAATTTATTAACAGCTCATCACTGATTGGGTGAGTCCCATAGGCCTTATGGAATCTGGGATTCTCATTGGTCAGAACCAGGAAGGAACACTGGAAACACAAGATTGAAATAAATGGCCTATCTATCTCTTTCTCCAATGTAGCCAGTGCCTCAGACAGGAAAAATCACTAAGTAAATAATTATGCAAGCCCAAGGAAATAACTTCCAATATTTGAATTTTCTGAGTTTTGTGACATTAGAGTGTTAATGATGGCCACTGTATCACTCTCATCAGAATTGAGAAATGAAACAATAAAACCCACAGATCCAGTGCATCAACTATGTAAAAGTGAGTACCAACTTTATAAGATAAAGATGATTGTGTATTGCAACCACACAGTTTCATTCAACAGATGTAAACTGTAACACTAGTCTGTAAACATTATTTAATCTTGAAGCTCTCAGGAAAAAAATAACAGATACTATGTGGAAGAAAAAAGGCCAAAGTATCTTTAGCATTTTCATACCCTTCCAAATCCCACTAGAACTAATATTGAGAGAATAGAATAGATATTGATTAATTATCAGACCTGTATTGGGGAACCCCAATCTATGCTTCTTATCATCTATTGTATTAATTTTAAAGTGACAACATAAAATTTTCTCATTGGCTGACCTGATCCCATTGTTAGCTATGAAATAATTCAGTTTCGTTGTTCCAGTGTCACTTTGAATCAACACACCCAAAAACAAATTCTTCCGTTGCACAACACAGGTTTCAAGGA